GTATCAACGTTATACTTAACCGCTTTTTTTTTTTGGGTGCTGCCATATTTTATTTTATCCCGTTTCATAACGTAGCTTGTTTTTATTTTGTTTTATATCACTACTTTTATTTACTTTTCATTATATGTTTTTTTAACAACCTTTTATTGTGTGTTGCTCATCTGTGTTCTTTGTTTAAAACGGGTCTCTCTTGTAAATGAGTCCTCATGACTCAATGAGACTAACCTGTGTAAATAAAGGTTGAATGAATGAATATTGTACTCTTGAATCCAGAGTCTGCACATTTGAGATGCAGGGCTGAGACTCCTGCCTACTCCCCTGCTCACTATCATTGTGTTTTAGGCATTAGATCATTAATTACAGCTTAATGTATTAGAAAATATATATATATATATACAGTAGTCCCTTGTTTATTGCGGGGGTTACGCTCCAGACCCCCCCACCCCCCTCAATAAGTGAAAAAATATAACGAAGTATCAACGTTATACTTAATAATTAATTATAATTTTAACAACATACTTGTATGTAGCTACTAAATTTGACTCACCAGGCTCTGCAGAACAGGAGCGGCTCAGTTCTGCTCCAACCTGAGAGATGGAAAAAGGTCCCAGTGGGCTCCGGATGGAGCACTGGACCTTCGGCGGTGCGCGTCCCACTTGTAAGTCCTGCATGGGCCAGCTAGGATCTCTCTGGTTCACCCTTGAGTCTAGGGGTCTGGCTCTGTGCAGCCAATCAGGGCCCGGGTCCATAGCACTATGCTCTGTTTCTTAAAGAGACATGATTTATTTTTTTGTGAATGGTATGTTTGTGAAGTTAAATTTTCCTAAAGAAACTTGTCTAAGTGACATGATTAAACTCGTACGTTTGAAAAGCCAGTTCGGCAGTCATGACTTTGCTTTCTGTTTGGCAGAAAGCAGTGGCTGGAGGCACTACAGTACAGTAGTGGCTTCTGGGAAATGAAGTCCTGTTGAGAGGTGATTACAGTGTAGGCTTATTGAAAGAAAACTACGAAATGGTGGCGCTTGTCCGAATTTGTTTTTTAAATTTTTTCCCAACCACTTTAGTCCAATAATATTACTGTAAAGTTGACAATCGTGTGTCGTTTACTGCACAGTACAATAAAAAAAAATACATTGTTGACAAACCGCGATAGAGCGAGTCCGCCAAAGTCGAACCGCGAAGTAGCGAGGGACTGCTGTGTACATATTCTGCAGCCAGCTTACAAGGTTCATTGTTCAGTTTCAGCTTTAACTTCTGCTTCTTATCTAGTTAATAATTAATTTGAAATAATCACCTGATCATGTTCTAACGGCTCCTTTATTCTCTCACAGTAAACTTTTATCCATCTCTGATCACTCGTCCTCTGCTCTGCATTTTGTCCTCACAGAAAAATACTTCGACATGAAGAAAAACCAGTGTAAAGATGCGTTGGACATCTACAAGAAGTTTCTTTACAGGATGACGAAGCTGTCGGAGTTCCTCAAAGTGGCCGAGGTACTTTTACACTCATGCACTGTTAATAAATTCAGTAAGATGAATAATTCCTCACTAGTTTTTGTCAGTGTCTCTTAACAAACTTTAAAAATAAAAACTATAATTTTTTTAATCAAATCCCACAATTATGTGTACATGTACTGATGCATGGGTGCAAACACAGAAGCACTTAGAACTTTGAAATGTTCAATTTTTATGTAAAAACTACACTTTTTGCTCACTCAGCATTGTTAAAGCAAGCATACCTGACCCCCCACCCCAACACACACACATACACACTGCCCTACATTTGCTGCACAGACACTCACATGCATACACATAGAAATATATATTTTTATGTGCCAAAAATAGTCGTGAGATGGAGGAGGTGGTTAGATACTCTGTTAGCTTCCGCCACCTCTGCCCCCACACTCCTCCCTCTGATCCTCCCTTCTCTCCTTGCTCTTCCTCCTACAAATGACAAAGATGAATACTCGTATGGGTCTCCTTTCCCCCACAGATCATCCCTTTTTCCTTTTTGTTTCTTTTTTCTAACAGGAAACTACACGTATTATTTTCTTAATAATGTACGAGAGTAAACATTTCCATTCACATTCTTGTCTCATAGAGCCACAGTTTAAGAACCCCCCCCCCCCCCCCCCCAGACAGATTTCTAATTTATGCTTCAGTAAATATTCATTTGTTGATTTTTTTTTTTTTTCTTTTTCTAAATTTCATGTCTCAAACGTTTCGAGGATGCTTTAAACTTTTGACCTCAGTTTGTGCTTTGCCCTGCAGTTAGACTGCATGAAGGAGAGCAGCTACAGCCATGGGAAAAAGAAAGTCAACCTCCTTTACTCCTTTGTGTTGTGTTAGCACACACTTGTATACTACAGACCAGTACACTGACCAAATCAGCACCTATATGCAACTTTCCCTCCAAAATCTTATACAGGCAGTTAGGGGGGACTTAGCTTTTTCACACACAGCTTTTCATTTTGTTTTTGTGATTAAGACGTCTGTTCTGTTTTTTAAGACAGAGCTTTAGGGCCACGCTAAGAAAAAAAATTTACATTGCCACGCTAAAAAAACCCAAAACATTGCCACACTAAGAAAAAAATTTACATTGCCACGCTAGGAAAAAAAAAACTATTGCCACGCTAAATAAAAACAAAATTGCCACGCTAAGAAAAAAAATTACATTGCCACGCTAAGAAAAATTTACATTGCCACGCTAAGAATAAAAAAATCACATTGTCACGCTAAGAAAAAAAATTACATTGCCACACTAAAAAAAATTTTTATATTGCCACGCTAAGAAAAAAAAAATTACATTGCCACACTAAGAAATAAAAAGCCATAAAATTACGAGAATAAAGTTACGACTTTTTTTTTAACAGCTTTTGTTTATTTATTTTTTTCCACGAGTCTGATTCACAACGTGACCTGTCAATCAATCCCCTAGGCCTGTCAGCAAATGACCAATCCAATGCTAAATGCTCTTTACCTACAGAGAGCTGCGCTGCAGCCCATCAGAGCGGACCACCTTACTGTAAGGAGGTTCAAAGTCATGATACTATAATAATCTGATGCTGATGTGCTGACAGATATCACCTTATCTATAAAACCAATACCAACGTATAACTTAACAAGATGCTCAACATTCTTCATTTTACCACAGTTAAAATGTGGTAAACGCCGTTTTATCGTGTCAAGAGTTCGGATAATATTACGACTCATTTAGCTTCGGATTGGTCATTTGCTGACACGCCTACTGGATTGATTGACAAGTCGCATGTGGATCCGACTCGGGGAAAAAAAACATGAGAGCTGAAAAAAAAAAGTCTTACTACTTTATTCTCGTAATAGTAAGACTTTATTCGACTTTATTCTTGTAATACTACAACTTTATTTTCGTAAATTTATGGCTTTTATTTTTATTTTTTCTTAACGTGGCAATATATATATATTTTTTTTTTCTTAGCGTGGCCCTAAAGGTCTGTCGTAGTTGTTTTTGGCCTTTTGATGTCAAGTTTGAACCTGCTCATTAATAAACCCTAATGCCTAAAACCATAAAATAAAAAGGAAGTCGATTGTCTTTTCCCCATGACAAATAAAAGTAAGAAATATCAAAACTGTTGTGCAATAAAGATCAAAATTTGATATGTAGATCATTACTTTGAAAGTTATTAAAAAGATGGAGGCCAGTCATAAGAAGCAATATTCTGCAGAAACAAACTGGTTTTCTATCAAGCTCTCAATGTACGCTAATGAGTGTTAATAATAGTGTCAGCAGATCAACTAATAGACTGTCATGTGAAGCATTGTAGACCAAAGTGAAGCTAAATTTTATGGTGCCAGAAAGGGGGGCTAAACGAAGATTAATGTGAACTACGGACTATAAAATGAGAAAAAATGACGTACAGTGTACAGTTGGTGTCTGTTAAACTGTACCTCAGCGCTCTGTCACTGTGGGCCACTGAGGTTTGTGCACCGGTGTCTTGGCAGGCGGCCACAGAGGAAGACATAAAGTAGAATTGACTAAGAAGCACACAGCTACAGTACGTTCTGTCAAGTTCTCACAAATCTGGACGTACTACTAAAACTTAATCCTGTCTCTGGGTGCATATTGGTCTGAACTAAAACGAGCACCACACATTTAGCATTTGTTGGAAAAAAGTTTTTTTTTTTTTTTTCTTAAAGGGCAGAAGAGCAAGCTCTGCATATTCAGATACACCGTTAAAACTTTGTCCTGAAAGGTCGACATTTGTACATCCTGCAACCAACAAACCCAAACACTACATTTACTGCACACAATTCAGTTCAGTTTATTTATAAAGCACCGATTTACAACAGAAGTTGATTCAGAGCACTGAACAAAAACATTCACATACATTATAAAATGATTAGTAACAGTTATCTATCTGAGGAGGCCAGCAGATTGAGCTGATCATTTTGTTGCAGTCTCCCGTCCTGAGCTGTCAGCTAGTCTGAGATGCACCAAGACCAACACAGATCTTTAGGCATCTTAAAACAACTTTAACCCCTGGAAGTCAATGTAACTTAATGACAGTGTTAATTCGGGGGAAACGTGTTAAAAAAAAATCTTATATATACATATACAGTAGTCCATATGTGTCAAACTCTAGGCCCGGGGGCCAAATGTGGCTCTCGCGGACATCTTATCTGGCTCCCAAGAAGCTATGTGAAACGTAAAATACTTCTATCTCTTGAATTTTTTCAGTAATCTTTGATTATGATGTTGAAGGCACATCAGAGAACTTCAAACGAGACCAATCAAACTCTTGTTGAGGAACCTGTGACCAAGAAAAGATGTTGGGTATCTGATTTGAGTCGATGTAGAGTCTGAAATTGACCCGTAGTTTGAAAAAAGTTTTAATTTTGATCCACTTTTGTAAGTGAGTTTGACACTCCTCCAGTAGTCCCTCGCTACTTCGCGGTTCGTTTATCGTGGATTCGCTCTATCGCGTTTTTTCAAAATAAGAGTGGACATGATACACAATTGGCTGATTAATGGATGAGCCGCACGATCGGCATGGAATTTTTATTTAAAATAAATTATTTTAAATTAATTAGCACCTGCTGCACATTTGTGCAGCTCAGAGCAGCAGAAAAAGCTTCATCCTGCACCTTTGTGCAGCCCTTACTGCAGGATAAACTTCCTGCTGTAGTTAAACAGCTGATCACCTGTTGAACATGCAGAATGGAGAAGTGGGCGTGGCCAAGAGCGCTTGCAGTGACAAAGAGCAGAGGAAGCAGGGAGCTGAAATCATGACATTCTGTGCTCTTTTAGAGCGTTTAGAAACATTTTTCACGTATCGCCGGTCTTCAGGGTACTGATCCCCCGCGATAAACGAGGGACTACTGTATTTAAATTATTATTATTTATTAATTAAACCCTTCCGATGTACAACGCCAGCTTCTGTTTAGTTTTTTGCTTTTACTGACCCAGATATACTACCTAACTCCTCTTGGTTCGTCAGAATTACTGCATGTTTCGAAACGGAACTTGTTCAAAGAACTTCTGGTAAAACATTATTTTTTTTCACAAACTTTTCATTGAAACATACTTTAAAAAAAACAACTGAGCTTTCTTTAGATTTTGTGCCCATTTCTTAGTTAAATTTCTCTCCAATTATTCAGATCTAAAAAAAAAAGAGCTGGTGAGGACTAACCAGGTCTTTAAAGGAAACTCCTTCTAATAAGAATTCAACAACACTAAGTAAGCCCTCTAGCTTAGTCTTCAATGGGATCTTTAAAATGTTTTTATCAAAAGGTTAATGGACTGCACTTACTGTATATATCACCTTTCTATCTTATCAAGATACTCAAAGCACTTTACAACACACTATTTGCCCTCATTTACCCATTCATACAGCACTCTACTAGATCTCTACAAAGACTAATCAGTGCTTTATCACTTTCATACACCAATGGACGCACATCGGAGGCAATGAGGGGTTCAGTGTCTTGCCCAGAGAGACTTCAGCATGTGACTGCTGGTGGAATCGAACCCCCAACTCTTGCATTGGAGAACAACTGCTCTAACCACTCAGCCACAGCTGCCCCGATCAAGCCACAAGGATTGAATTATTTTTACTCGCACTGCAGAAAACACCGTTTTATCTGTTTTTCGGAGGTCATCATGTTTGATTTGACTGTTACTTGTTGTGGTCTTCTGTTCTTGGTGTCATTTGAGTGTTTCATCCATCCGGCCTGCTGTCTATGTGGGTCGGACGTGTGTTTATCGGTGTGGTCATCATTATCGGTCACTGCGGGTTCATCCGTCACTTCAGATGTCATTTGCTTGTTTGTTTCTGTTTGTGTTGACGCTGCCACTGCATGAAGTAATGATTCCCACTTGTTTTCTTTTATCCATCTTTTTTTTTTTTTTACTGCCCCCTGACCCTTTTTTGTTGTCTCCCCCATCTGACCCCACCTTCCCTCCTTTCTTTATTTTTCTTTTCGTTTTGTTTTTTGACGACAGCAAGTTGGAATAGATCAGGGTGACATCCCTGATCTCTCACAGGTCAGTGTACATACCACCTTCCATCAGTTTGTCTCATGCTCGCTGTCTGACTTTATTTCTGTATTTTTATGTTTTTTCCCCATAACTTGTGGTTTCATTGTTCCTTTTTACACTTTTCATCCCTTGACTCATTCATTTTTACCCATGTGCGCTCCAACCTGTCCAACACTCCTTCCTCTTTCATCCAATCTTTTTATTTGCATTTCCACTCTTCACCTTGTCCAACTTCATATTACTGCATGGATCCAGACGACTCTCCCCTCGAGTCTCTCTTCATTCTTTTCTCTTTAGCTCTCGTTAATATTCCAGGTTTAGGTGTTGTAAATTGGCCACCTGCCATCAATAGAACTGATAAAAAGTTTCATCATGTGTTTCTTTTAAACCTTGAGCTAAAGCAAATAATAAACCCAGACCTTGAAATTAGAAAAACAAAGATGGTGACAAGTAGAGAGGCAGCAAGTGTGCCAGAATGAGATTTAGGTGTTTAATCAGCAAACATGCATTTTTTTTTTTATCTAACTGTGAAACTGTTTGGTTTAATGGCTGGAAGCGTGAATCAGTCTTTGCTGTTTGGTGTGAATGGACGGACGACAGAAGCCCTAGCTTTTTGGAGTTAGACTCACAGATGATGTGAAAAAGCCATTATAAGGAATCACTTTACATTTCCAAACTTGTTACTGACTTTGCTTTTCATTCGTTTTATTTATCTTTAGAATTTCAAATGTTAAAGAAGCAAACTGACTCAGAGTCCACAGATGGATCAGAATCTGGGCTGCATGTAATGATTTTTCATTAAGCATTCATCAGTTGCCTTTAATAATTGATTTCAGAACGGCCGTAAGGGCCTCATTAAGTCTCTTGTTTGTTCTCAAACAGTTCAAAAGCTCTAAGACAGAGTTTACAACAATATGAAACCCAATAGTTTTATTTATTTGAGTGGCTGCTACAAGAACAAGTTTTATAATTTTGATAAATTAATAAAACTGATTTGTTTGTCATTATAATGGAATAATAAGTCAGAACAATTTTTAGAGGTTTATTTAACAGTGGACATTTTAAAGGCTGGTATTTAAAGGTTTGTGGCATTTAGCAAAATAAATCAACTAAATATTCTGCAATTACACTCATACTAAGGTGATTTGAAACATCTCAGCCCCAGTTACCTTTGACCCCCTGAGTCGTTGAAATAAAACGCAGTGCAACAAGGTAAAACAACTAGACTGGTTCATTTACATATAAGGAGTTTGTGTTCAAAGTACACGTTTTACAGTCAAGAACGCCTGAACCTTTGGAAACAAAACACTAAAAAAGGATGGAGCAAGTTTTTTGCACAGTACTGTGTTTATTCTTTTCCGTCAGTTGATTTATTCATTCACCCTTTATTTATACAGGTTAGTGTCAGTGAGTCAGTCATGAGGACTCATTTACAAGAGAGACCTGTTCCAGACAGAACATATAAAGTAAAGACAAGAATAAACAACAATAAAATGCAATTACCATATTTTCCGCCGTACATGTCACACCGCCCTATAAGTCGCATCAGTCCAAATATGTCTAATAAAGTGGAAAAAACATAAATATGTCACTTTGCCATATATGTTGCATCTATTACGCGTCACCGCTGACAACCCGGAAATGTGGGCCGGTGTTGTGCCAAAAATTGATTGGCTGCCAAATGGCGGCCGCAGGAGCGTGCACAGGAGGACTTTAACAAGAATTTAACAAGATTAACACTTAAAAACTATTATTTGTTTGCTCGACTTTATAGCAAAGGTGTGTCTCAGTTGAACTTCTACTTAATAAATGCACTTTGGCGGTCAAATCACCTGCATTTCAAAAGCCGATACGCAGAAGTAGGAGCACGTAGAGGAACAACTCGCTGTGCATTTATTCGAAATTTAACAAGATACCTACCTAAAAACAATTTGCTCAACAATATAGCGAAGGTGTGTCTCAGTTGAACTTTTACTTAATAAATGCACTTCAATGGTCAAATCAGCTGCATTTCGCCGGGGCAGTGCAGCGAAATGAAGCTGGTTTGACGGTTGCTCCATGCAAGCTGGACAAAGGTGGCTGACTATGGCAAGCAGATTGTGTCATTAATAGCCACTTTTACCTACTACATGTCACAACGGCTTGCCATATAACTCAAGTGCAATCTAGCAGCTGAAAATGGTAGTGTTCGATATTTTCAGTGTCAGAATGAATGATAACGGTCATATCTCAGACAAAGATTGGTTTATAAATTAGGGGGAAAATCCATAAATACATCTCTTTAGTGTATACGTTGCAGGGCATGCAAACTATGCAAAAAAAATAAAATAAAATAAAACCCGACTTATAGGCCAAAAAATACGGTAAAATAAAAGTAGTCTTATAAAACAATAAGATTATGGAGCCTTTTAAAACAAGTTAAAATACTAAAAACAAATTTGTGTTGATGTTACTATTGACCTTATCAAATGTTTAAAATCCCTCAGAGATCAAAGTGAACAGCTTCAGATCTTTTTGCAAGATATTCCATGAAACGGGAGCGGAGTAGGAGAAGGCCCTTTTGCCTAGTTCAGTTTGCACTGAGGGAACACTGCAGGTAATAATGTCCTGAGAGCGCACGCTGTAACTGCACTGATGACGTGACATGTGGGAGGAGATATAAGAAGGTAGGAGACCAAGGAGTGAATTAATGATGAAAATGAACCAGTGTGAGAGCCTACATAGAGATAATGTTGACGAACTGACCAGTTAGTACAGGGTGCAGTGCGGGGTACAGTAGTAACAACTATTGATGAACCTTAGCGCATCGTGATACCGTGTCCAACATGCAAGGTGCTTGTAGGGGTGTTCATGTAAATAATGATCGATCAAACCACTGCATGCTGTATGTTTTTAATACTTGGTACTGTATTAAACTGATCCACAGCATATTTGCTTTGCTCCAGAAATCATAGCCAACCAATTTGTTTAGCAATGGACCTGGATGATGTTAGGAAAATATGCAGTTGCTGTGTTGTTGAATACTGAATCATCTGGTATGATAAAGCCACATTTCCTATCTCCTGTATTTGTATATTGAGATTGCAACTAGTTTTTTTTGTAACGTGTAATCTTATTTGGTCAATATATGCTTCTCTTTAGATTTACCAAATTAAATAAAAAGTCAAAATCTTTGTAGTGAATATTGGCAGATGCATTGAAAATATACTCGTCATTCAATTACAAACATAAAAATGAAGGAAAAAAGCGAAACATTAAAGTTTTCAGTTTAGTTTCTGTGATTTTAGTGGCGTGATATGCTTGTAATGAAATCATCATGAGAGGCAGCCTTATACAACTGGCTGCTCATTTAAATTCAGACCTTTGTTGAATAATTGACCGTTCTGGAGTTTTTCCATCAAAAAATACTAAACTCCACAGAAACAGCAGTACCATACAGCTTTGTGGAAGTCAACTTTGATCTCATAAAACAGTGAAATTAATTGATTAAAGCGTGTAACGTGGGAAGTGACTCATTCTGAAGCAGCATTTGTAATTTAATGTCTGTTTTTCTTTCCCTGTGCTCTGTCGCAGAAGACTAAACGATCATATATTGTAAGTGGTGGGTTACAAACGGTACAGATTAACCACTCCAACCTCTTTAAAGGAAAATTCCAGCATTCAACCCTGGCCCTGTTTTCCAAACACATTTTTTGTTTTTGACACGGACAAAAATCTTTGGAATCTGTTAGATGTTGAGCAAGAGACAGAGAAACATGAAGCATGTAGTTATCTTGTAGGGCAATGGTCAACTAGCCTGGTTTAGTCCCTGATGAGTTTAAATTTGATGTGACTGAGGGGAAACACTAAAAGTAGCCACATCCACCATCACGTTTTGCATTTGTGCTGGTTTGTTTACTTGACTGAGCCTGTGGATCTCTATTTAAAGTGATGTTGTAATAACGGATCCAATAAAAATGAAGGTTCCTCTATTGACGGCCTGATAGTTTTGTACCATTTAGGAAGCTGAGAGCTGAGTCGGTGCAGTCTTTGTGATAGTAGATTTTTAGGAAATGAAACATTTCTAAAATTGTTTATCAAAACTTCAAGTTTATTAGCCGAGGTGAGTTGCAAACGTAGATGTTCCTCTTTGTAGAACTTCTTCCTCTTTAGTTTGTAAGAGAAAATGGACAGGAACATTTGTTTATTTTGACACCTTGTCTTTTAGGACAAAGCAAATTCCTTTTTGCCTTAAACTACTTCTTCTTTTTACTGTAGGTCTTAGTTTGTTTTTTAGTGCAACAAACTTGTTTATTTATTTTATTTATTACAAAAACTGGAAAAGGGTAGACGCTAGGGGTGTAATTGCACACCTCAAACTCAATTTGATACATTCAGTGGCGCAGACCACTGTAGTAGTCAAGTAGTACTACAGTAGTCACTGTAGTAGTAGACCACTGGATAGTGATGGTTCGGTACAGGTTTGGTACAGGTTTGGTACAGGTTTGGTACAACAACAACAAGAAACCAATGCCAAATGCTACTTTTATACTTCCGTCAAATGGTGGATGTGTTGTGGTATGATCCCATCTGTAAATATGTCCATTAACTTTCTCTTGTCCTGCCCATAACTTCTGATTCGCTCAAGATAATAAAATTAAGCTTGATTCGCTTATGCCTCAATATTAGACGGTGTGTTGAGTACACTTTTCATCACCCCACCTCCAAGGTCAAGGTCACAAATCAAGATCAAAGGTAAAACAAGGTGTTTGCTTGTCCAGGCCACAACCTCTGATACATCCTAAATAATTTAATGAAACTCGACACACATTTGTACCAACACTAGACAGCATGTCACGTACCTGTAATATTTTCATCACCCCCAGTTCTAAGGTCAAGGTCACAAATCAAGGTCAATGGTTATACAAGGTTTTTGCTTGTCCAGGCAATTGCTAAACAGTAGATTGCTGTAGAGAAGTTAATCAACGGCCATATAATGTGCCGTATGTGGTATTGTTTTTTCTTTT